ACATTTACACAGCAGGCTACACAAGCCTCAAACCACACTGCAGGTGGGGAGGAACAGAGAGGACAAGATGCGAAAGCAAAGTGGGAGAGGAGAGATGGATATTTTGGAAAAGCACGAGGACTAAAGATGGCAAACTTTTCACAGAGCAGACTCTGACTCAACAGGTTTCCAAGGGAATGTTGTAATTAGTTTTGAGGGAAGAAAAATAGACCAAATAGGATGAGGAAACTAGTCTAATTGCATCTTAGATCTCACGCATAGCTATGATGAGGAAATCATGTTTCCTTCCTCGGATCTCGCATGCTGTTCTAAAGTGTCCTTGTTATCTATGAGAGCCATCTGCTGGGTAAGAGGCTCGTGGTGACAGAGGAGCTTTTCCACTGAAGGAAAACTGGGTGAGAGAAAGAAAAAAGGCTGAGCGGTCGGCCAAAGCTGCTCTAGCGGTCAGCGCCTCGTGGAGCATTCCAGCTGACATGAGGAGGGTCTGATTGTCAACCACCACAGCTGATGCATGACTGAACTAATTAGGAAAACTCAAGGCCAGACACTTTCTAGACACATCCAGTGTCTTTGAAATATTCTCGTTCCATCAGAATGAAGGAGGTAAAAACTGCTGCCACCTAGCTGTCGGAGTTTGAAGTGAACCACACTACTGTAATTACGCTCAACAAAAATATAAACGCAACACCTTTGTGTCTACTCCGATTTTTCATGAGATGGACTTAAAGATCTAAATTTCATTCCAGATACACAATATTACCATTTCTCTCAAACATTGTTCACAAATCAGTCTAAATGTGTGATAGTGAGCACCTGTGCTTTGCTGAGATAATCCATCCCACCTCACAGGTGTGCCACATCAAGATGCTGATCTGACATCATGAGTAGTGCACAGGTGTACCTTACACTGCCCACAATAAAAGGCCACCCTTTTCCAACATCAGCATCCATGCAGAAAACATCAGACTCAACTCTGTTTAAGGACACAAGTTTTAAGAAAAACTAAGTTGAGTTGCTGTTAGGAGCATCTGCAGGCATGTGCACCACTTGGCAAACCAAACCATTTTAAGCTCAGTGCATGTGTTGTGCTGCTGAGACTGGAGTGGAGACTGGAGTGGAATGCTGATATGGAAGATGGCATCATGAGCCGCATCCATTCTGCGGACAGTTTATTGAAGCTCAAAGTTCTGTGCGTGTAATGAACAGACGCCCAGAATGAACGTACATCACATATCAGGAGCCTTTAAGTGCTGCTCTTAACGCTCACAACGTATTGATAGATGTCTGGGAGAAGAGGACTAACGACATCCTAATGTCATAAACAAAGCAATAGCTGCTTGCAATCAGTGTCAAGACTACAAGCCAGCTTCATCCGAGTGGGCACTTTTGGCTGAATGGATATCACTTCCTGTCGACCACAAATCCAGTATCAGGTTTCTCTGCGTGGCTCTAATGCTCAATAGTGAGCAGGAGCTTAGAGGAAAGTGATCTGGGACCTGTGGTTAGAGACGCTGTCAAACCTTGGGCTGCTTTCACATTCAGAACAACAGCAAAGAGAGGCAGAGGTGCCATTCAGGCCAGTGCTGTAGGACGAGCTCTGCAGCGAGGGTGAAGCTGCCAATGCACTGCTGAGTCTATGTGTTGGTCTATAACAGGCCCTTATGGGAACACTTCCAAAGTGCCACTGCAATGAAACAGTGTGTGCGTGTGTGTGTGTGTGTGTGTGTGCGTGTGTGTGTGCGTGTGTGTGTGTGTGTGTGTGTGTGTGTGTGTGTGTGTGTGTGTGTGTGTGTGTGTGTGTGTGTGTGTGTGTGTGTGTGTGTGTGTGTGTGTGTGTGTGTGTCCGTCTGAGTGAGCAGGCTTGCCACTCATATTTACAACCCATCTTCAACTTACAGGTCCTTCCTGTCTCAGTTACAGCTTTTTGTAATTTTTTGTTCTTTACTTGTGATTTCCCCTTCCTCATTTCTAGAAAATTCATCTTTTTGTCTTTGACTTTAAAGCAAGTTATTCAGCTGTCACATATCCGACTGATTAAGGTGTGACTGATGAAACCAGAAACAGCATTTGCCCTCTGTGACTGACAAAATGCATGCAAATACGTGTTTATATGCATCTGAAATAATGCAACTGCACACTATCTTATTCCTGCTATATTTAATCCATCAGAAAAAGCATGCAAGCAAATAAAAACATGCAAAAACACTGCAAACATTTTGGTGCAGAGATAATTAGAGAAGAAAACGAGGAAGGATTTGTGCAGCATTCATGTTTGGAAACTTGGTGTGACATTTAGAAGGCTGCTGCACGCTTGTATTCAAGCCTTTCACATTAACTTTCCTTCATTCTGTCAGTGATACCAAGAGATACGGAAGAGCATAGAGAGAATGTGCTACAAGCATGAGGAAGTTCATTTAACCTGGTCATGCACATTTGTGCGGCTAACCGATGTGCTATATGATTAGATAATCAGTTTGATAGCTTCAAAAGTAATTGTATTTCTTAGCTGAGATAATCATTTCTATCAGGAAAAGGCAAGACTTTGACCATAAATGGGACAGAAACGAGTTGGGTGAGACACGCAGCAGAAAAACGTCCCATAACTCGTTTCATGCCTGCAACTCGTGGAATGGAAAGTACAGTACAAATCACACTGAACTATGTGCATCTGAAGTGGGTCAGCTTTCAATCTTCAAACGTAACTTTGAGATGTAAGTAACTAAACAGGAAACTAATTATTTTTAACCATCGGCCTGCGGCGCAGGTACTCTGTGCAGCTGGGGTCTTCACCAGTAACTTCTGCGTGGATGTCAGACACAAAAGTGGAGCGGCTGCAAACTAGCATTCTATTCTTATCTGTGCAAGAATGTTGCCTTCTATAAATAGAAGCACTGGTTACAAATACATTTAGAAAAGCTGCCTTTGGTTTTATACACAAGATTGATCATTAATATTGTAATAAAGTCACAAAAGAACAATTTATTCACTCGTCTCTGGTCCGGTAACTGTAAGCCTTTAATCTGACCTGGCGAGCTATAAAATCTTAGATTTTACATTAGAGAAACTATGGCTTAGTTTCAGGCCACTATGTGCTCTAGTTTAAAGACACCTGAAACAATGCAGCTGTGCTCTTCTAGCAGCCAACTTCAGGTTGTGGTGTTAAACAGCAATACTAGCGTTGAACCAGCTCCACATAGCTGACCTACTCTGAACTCATCCTCTTCATCCCTGATATAAGCACTCGCCAGGTGCTGCTGCACAAGCTCTGAATAGCCAATGGCACTTCTGAGCTTTAATTCAGTCTACATTCAGCATCTCATCCTCATCCTTCACAGCCACTAAAGCACCCAGATGTCGACCCCGTCCGATAATGTTCTTGACGCGCCGTTTAAAGAAAAGCAGGCCTCATTCTTTGCATTCTGTAAACATGTCTGGCTTCAAACGTGAGGTTCAGGACTTATTCATTGAGGCCTTCGCCACATGTAAGCCCTGCCCTCAAACTGTGATGTTAGTGGGATGGAAAACACCAAGTCCTCATCCAAATCCAGGCGTTCTGTAAAGAGAGGAACCCTGCTTGGTAAATGCTAACAGAGGGGGAGGTACTCTGGCCTTTGAAGGGCGAGGAGTGCCTGGCCTCTATCAGAGCATGGCCAGACTAAATAATACATTTATTTAGTCTGGCTTGCCAGGCTAGTATCTAGTAGGAGTCACTGTGCTCTTTAACCCATTATCTCCCTCCCCTGTCCAAACGGAGGTGAGACGTGCTGCGGCTGCACGCACCGAAGTAAGGAGAGTCCCAACCCTGCCTCCCCACCTAGTGGACACTTATGCTGTGTAATGTCTGAAGTCTGTGAGCATTTCTGTCTGAGGTGGTTTTTTTTTTTGCATAGCAAAGCTGTCCTGTCTGGTGAGGGGGGCTCTGAAGTTGCTTTTTTTCCCTCCCCCCGACTTTATCCTTATATAAACCCTCTTGATCTATTACGGTAGTGCGACTCGGGTTGCGAATGACCACAGTCACCAATTCTTGTCATGTGTGTGTATGTATGTATATCTGATCTCAGAATTGTGTGTACTGAAACTCTAATTTCCATCTGGGATTAATAAAGTATTATTGAATTGAATTGAATTGAACACAACTGATATAAACAGTTGTTTATAAGCAGGTTTTCAAGCAAAAACACACACGGCATAATGGACTTTCTGTTCATAGCCCATCACCTTGCTTATATTTAAAATTCTGTACAGTTTTATAAGAAATAAAAGCATAAGGAGTTACTGATCTGATATTGTTAGGTTAATGTTTGTGAGGTTTTGTTTACTCAATCGTTGTTTCCTGCAAAGCTTGGAACCATCTCAACAGCTTTTATTCGTCAAACCTGTGGATTTCTCCCCGTTGACAGCATTTTCCATTCTCTTTTACTCTTTTTTATCCACGCTTTGTGGACAGTCTGGAAACAAACACTCCAGTTATCGTTTTTGATTGCCAGTGAAATTTCTGAGAGCAGCCTCTCACCAGATTTATTTAATCACAAGTTAAACTTTAAAATAAACACTTCCTCTGAATAAAAACATGTATTACTTGTGTTGGAATGAACACTGTAATTGACTCACAAGCTGTCGTGGTATCTAAATTATTTTCACACAAATGCAAATAATCTTTTAATATAAATCAACCTATAGGAGTCAGCAAATGCTCAGACCATGCAGTGAAGTAGGTGCACTGACCATGTGCACGTGTCCTCACCCATCCCCTGGATGATTTACGGGAACCAGACTAGAACCTGTGTCAGGCTGAGAATGCTGCAGCTGTGGTTTGTGGCCTGCATGTGTGAGTCAGGTTGATATTTACTGACACTTTGGTTAGCTTCTGTTATAAAGGTTGAACCGCCTGTCTGCGCATGCGGATGTTTGTTTTTTAATCGGAAGAGAAAGCACCCGCTAATTAAGGGAGTAGTTGATTAAATTCTGGGGGGGGGGGATTTGGCTGAAGTTTCACCCACCTTAAATAGGCTTTCTGTCAGTCCCCGCCTGACCATCGTCCACAAAAAGGCGCACAACAAAAACAGGGCGATTTCGGTCCAGGTGATGTATGCGTTATCCAGGAGAGTCTGTTTGGAGAGCTCCAGCCCGCAGTGACTACAGTCTCTCCACGAGCCCAGCATGATGCTGGAGCCTCTGCTGAGGAGCTCCCAGTATCCCGGCATGGGCTCCACGCTCCCGGCATCCCCTTCCATCGCGGTGTGGTGCAGAAACAGCAGAGGATAAAAGCTGCGGACCAGTGACTCCAGACTGCGATGACTGACCGGTGGAAACAGGCTTATCTAACCGGCTTACCCTCTAGAGTCTAATTCTTTGTCTTCCTAATTAAGACATGAGCTCGTTTTTGGCGTCCGGGTCAGTTTAGTGGATACTTGCTGGGCCCACTATGACTATACACTAGATACGACTGTTTGGATAGAAAAATAAATAATCATAGAAATGATCTAACAGGTAGATCTAGACAGCTGTTCATGGTTTTTTTTTTTAGCGTCAGGCTAGTGAGGACTCCATCTTCTCTGTGCGCACACTGTTCATCTGATTAGCCGCCTAGCTCCCCGTCAGTCAGACTAGCAGCGGTGTCCTACAGCTAGCCGTTCACAGTACAGAACGCAGATGCACCAGCACGTTTACCCAGAGCTTAGTGTTGCCTCCCCGGCGCCGAACGCCGCGGTCAGATAATTGTGCCGCTACACGCCGCCAGACACGCTCTCATCCCCGCCCGTTATCCGCTTTATGTAACGCCTCAGAAGACAGAGCCACGAGGAAACCGGCAAGTCTCACACCAGGGCAGGTTATACCGGTAAAAAAAAAAAAGAAAAAAGGATAAATTAGAGGGTTGTATTCCGGAGAGTGGCTTCTCCTCCTCCCGGCAGCAGCAGTATCGTGCAGGCGGCGCGCGCTCCGCTCCCCTCGTGGATCAACTGGTGCGTTAAAAGGAGGACAACGCGCTTCAGCTGCTGCGTGTTTAAAACGACTAAAAAAGTACAGGGCCGTGACGTTTTCAGGCTGGCTATCTTCTTTTAGATCCCTCTGCCTAAACCACAAAGGATTAGGAAGGATGACTTAAAGAGACAGCGCAGGTTCAACTTCCAAGATCCCAAGTCAGACATGACTGTGTTTATATTACATAAACAATGTGGTATTTCTAGTTGGATCACACATAAACACTCAATGAATTTCAGACATTTATTAACATTTCAAAGTAATGTTTATTACAGAGAAATAGCTAGAAATGTAAATTTCAATAGATACTGAAGAGATGCATTTGTCTGCTGACTGGATTAGAAGACATGTAAATAGTATTAAATACAGCCAATATGTTCAAGAAAAACATAACACAAATATGAGTCGATGAGAAAGAGGATGTTCTTCTTTGTGCTTTCTTTAAGTTCACCGTCAAGGTATCTTGAAGAAAAGCAGAAGTGTTATGCAGTAGCTGCAGGGGCGTACTGCATAGCTAATCTGTCAAACTCATTCTCCTGCAGGAAAACAGGGAAGGAAACGCTTAAACACAACAAAAAGGACATATTTCACATTACAGCTGTAGGAAAAGTCTCAGTTTGTTTAGTAATCGTGTTATAGCATGTTTATGTGCTTCTGCACACATGAAATTACAACAGCGTGCTTGGCTACGGCTGGAGGATCTCACTGGCTTTGGACCAAGAACACTTGTCCAACTATTTTTACAAAAACTTGTAAATGATATGTTAAAGAGTTAAGTTAAGAAGATCTGTGAACAATTAAATCAGGTTTAAACAAATTAGGGTATCTTCTGAATGAGTGAATGAGCATGTTACCTTGGTGAAATAGTCTTTGAGGAATGGATGGGCTTTGTGTGCATCCTTCAGCTGGGAGAGGTACCGATTGGTGACCTGACGGCACACAGAACAGAAGAAGCTGCAGTAAACAGAACTAAGTGGGGAGCAGGTTTATTAAGAGTACAAAAAGTAAAATCTTGAATAAATGTCTGCATTTCTGTGCCCGTTTGTGTTTTTCTGAGTGGTTTTAAGGTTCTGACTCAACGACTGATGAAAATAGTGTTTTTGTTTGCCGTCATCCATATATGATACAACTACAAATAATCTGTAGTCAAACACATAGCTGTTGCTGAATTACTCAGGAGACATAAATATTTAATGTTTAGGAAGAAAAACACTAAACACTGCAAAATGCAGCAGAACTTAGCACAAATGTGTCGAACGTTTGTACTTGTGAGGTTTCGTGTCACAAATGCATTCATGTACAATAAAAACAAAACAAATCTTTATGCTTATGACATAAAAGCATTTTCTTTATATTTCCGAGAACTCCATGAATCTCACAAAGAAATAGCCTAATTTCACCAGTTAACCTGCAGCGAGACGTGGTGGTGTGGGTAATCTCAAGTGAGACTTTTTATTGATGTCTTCGTGTTTTTGCTCAGCATTCTGTTACGCTGCTATCTAGTTCATCAAATGCGAGTCTGATTATCAGGCCTTTATCTGCTGAACTCTGAGTCTCAGGTTGTGTAACTCACACCACTAAACTAGCATGTGTGTCAAAGGGATGATTAAAAACCATTCAAAAACAGATTACTATAGCTGAATGAATGTGTATGTTTCATTTAAGCTTCAAAGGTCACAGGGGGAAACAAGTTTGATGTACTTCAGGTGAAGTTTGTTCGACTGATGCATTTTAAAAAGAAAGGGCTTTTAAGATTTCTGAGTCCAAAGTCTCACCTCAGGAGCTTTACTCAGATGCTGGGTCAGCACTATGAGGTTGATCAGCGTTTCAGGGTGGCTGCTGTCCTGATAGGGAGGAAAAACAGATACAATGTGAGCAGAGCTGGAGGCTTATTTTCATCAAGTTTGTGTAATCTAGACAAGATGAGATAAAATGATCCTAAATGTGTTTTCTGAGGGTAAATCTGAATGAAAATGACCAATTTCCCCCTCTCATCTATACAAGATGTTGAATGAATCTCTGATCCTGTCTAATCCAAATTTCTGCCTCTCAAACAAACGTGAAAATGAGATTATACAAGCGGACAATAACCTCTCTTTATGGAGGCAGTTAACCCTTGGATCATTTATTTATCGAAAAGTCAGAGCTGAAAGTTACACGACACCCTGTTCTGCCTGTACAGTGAGAGAATATCAATGAATAACTGATGCTTTGTAAAAATTAAACTTATCAACACTGACCAACACAAGACACTGCAAAGCTGTAGAGTTTACATTAAAGCACATTTATAAATACTGAGATGAAAAAACGTATATTTACAACCAAACTAAAGATTTATTTATTATATTAATCGAACATTTGGAAATTAGTTTTTTGCTGTGAAATAACTGATTCTTTGCAGGTGAATAAGAGCTTTATTGAACACTAAAGTATGTGCTGCCATCTGCTGGTACACTGACAGACATTCAGTTAATATTCAATAAACCAGTTCTGTCTCATCAGATAGGATGAGACAGAACTGCTGTCCTCTAACCTTATCAAGAGCCTCCTGCAACACTCCTTCAGCCTCCTCCCACTTATTCTGCGCCATGTAACAGGCTGCCTGGCCATTAAGCAGCAACAGAGTAGACGAGTACTTGTCACACATCTCTTGGAAAATGTAGTAAGCATCCTGCAGCTTCTCTCCACCCTGGAACAAGGCAATCACAAAAGCAACACGGGTTTATTTATTTTCATCTGAAGCTTGTGGTTTTCAGATGATATTAGTGGTAAAGAACCCTGTTACGTCTGACTTTACTGGATGAGGAGGCATGAATTTGTTTTGTTCCAACTAAATCACAATCACAATATATTAATGCTGACATTTTGTGGTATCACTCTAATAATAATTCTTGCTTCATCAAGAGTTAATAGAACAGCATATAGTTTGTGGTTGATCATTCACTTATGAATCATACACAATTCATATTTATTTCTTACCACAGCAATATTAACCCAGGCTGTGGCTAGCTGGGTTAGAGTTGCATCCTCGTCTTGCTCCTGCATCTTCTTCAGCTCTTTCCTGTAATAAATAATTAGCAGCAAAATACCTCATTAAACAGCCAAAAGCTAATTTTGACCATTAGGTCATGTAGAAATTAAACAATTTGAGTCATAATGTGCAGATTCTCTGTTAGCCATCATCAAAGCTCATATACAACTAGTAAACAATCTTTAGTGTGTACGTGAAAACACATTTTTGAGGGTGTGAAACAGTTACTCCATACCTCGCCAGGTCAACACGATCCAGACTGAGAAGCACCTGAATGGTCATGGCCATACTGACAAATAAACACAGAATTATGCTCAGTTTGATATTTTTAACCATAAAACAATCCAACCACACATTTAAAAGTTCACAAAATAAAAAGAACAACTCTTGTATTTTTAATTATATTAATCAGAATGCTAAATTTGTAAACATACATTTTTAATTGCACTTCTTTATCGTTTAACACAAATCCATGAAGCAGCTTTATAAATGTTTACTTTTAACCTATTTTTCTAACAATGTAAGATTAAACTCCAAGAGAATTTCCTAGAATAAACTATGATTTTAAAGACGCTATTCTATTAATATTCTCAATATTTATATAAATGAATATTTATATTCTCTATATTTAAATAGAGCACATAAATATGCTCCATAGTTTTGGAGTAATATGTTAAAATGAAATAACCTTGAATCCTAAGCATCATCCTATTCAGACTTAAAGAGCAAGTCACCCCCCATCAGATTCTTACTCAACTCACTCTTCCTGTTTGAAAAATGCAACAAATGCTGTTGCCTAGCAGAACAAGAGGGCGGAGCCACTAACAAATACACACTCACGACATTGTGACATCATAATCTACCATCTAACATCATAGTGTACCTCTTATCCATAGAGATGGCAGATTTAAATTAAAATGTAGTGCGAGTTTTTAGCTGACGATGGTGCATCACTGACAGGTTTAAGCAGAATATTTAAATTTGAACTAAGATGCACTAAAGTGCCAAATTATTGACTACATTTGTCTACAGCCCAATCACTCATTTATATAGTTTATCAGCAAAAAAAAATGGTGATTTGGCGTGGCTTGCTCTTTAAACATAAATCTGGATTCCCCCTTACCACTCCAGACTTTCTCCTTGATGAAGCGTTCTGAGAGCAGCATCAGAGTTGGTCTCATGGTGGTAGATGGAGGCCGCCATGAGCAGGAAGGTGGTGTTGGCAGCATCCACACTCTTTGACATCTTTTTGTCCAAATCAGCAACAATAACATCCCTGAACAAACATAATAAGTAAAAATATACTCAAGAGATGAATTTGTAAATCAACTGGAACAGCAATTTTTACACAAAAGGGTGAGGTTAACTAATATAAATAGTTTGTGTTGCTAGGGGCAAAATGAATGAGCATTGTGTAAGCATGCTTGTACCTTTTGCTTTCATTGGACAAATACTCTGCAAACATCCTCACAGCTTGCAGCTCAGGTGGAGAGCTGGTCTTGATGTCATCCAGAACAACAGCATACTTCCTCTGTAACAAAGAAATACAAAACCTCCGGTGAGAGGGTGAATTTTTGTCTGTCAGCAATAACGTCCACTGCCTCTTCAGATCAGGCTGATCCCCCACCAACACGTACCTGAGCAATGTAGGCTCTGTACAAAAACATGTCCCTTTCGATGTCCTTCTCTGGTGACGAAGGCTTTAAAAACCAAACACAAGACGTAAGTACCAAAATCAGTAACAAGAATATTAAGAGTAGTCGTTGTTGTTAGCCCATTAGCTCAATTGCTCTGTTAACCACACTGACAGATAAATAACGCGACAAAACGAGCGTTTAAATAAATGGAAATGCGTCACTTACCTTCACTTTCTGAGCTTCGTTAATACATTGCTGGTAACTACCGATATAATAAGCATTTTTCACATCGAACAGTTCATCAACATCACCCTGTTGCGCCGCCATGTTGGCTAATGAGCTTCCGGACACGTCGCAAAGCTACGTAGGCTTCCTGCTTTTTTACAAAGGATTCTGGGAAATGCTGTTCAGAAAACAAAAATAACTAAGAACCGAAAATGACATAAAGAAAATATTTGTCCCCTCTTAATGTGGACTCGGCGCGTTATCTATTCATGTATAATGTTTAAACTAGGCGTTATCTATTCATGTATAATGTTTAAATTATTTTATACTTGTATTGCAGAGTTATACTGGGCACAAATTATGTTAAAATTAACTTTAAAATATATTTTAAGTAAATATTTTTGTCGTCCTATATTTCTAATTAGTGTGTTATTAATTGTTATTAATTCAAAGGAATCAAGTTCAAACACTGCAAAAAAAAAAAGCTGAACGAAGCCATTTTGACTTATCGCGTTTAACCACAAGAGGGCGCTTCAAGATAGATAGATAGATAGATAGATAGATAGATAGATAGATAGATAGATAGATAGATAGATAGATAGATAGATAGATAGATAGATAGATAGATAGATAGATAGATAGATAGATAGATAGATAGATAGATAGATAGATAGATAGATAGATACTTGTGTTTCAATTTTGGAGCTGATGATTTAATGATCTGGCCCATTTATCAGATCTAAAAAAAGTGATGTGTGAACAATAAAATAAGGATATGACATAGGGAATTTCCGCCAGCCTCATTAAACTGCTGTTAAAAAACTTCCCATGCCTTGAAAACACCCGGAGATATGTACTTTCCTTTTTGTTTTAGCCGGGAGTAATAGTTAATAGGCATGCTCTCATTAAATACTCTATTTTGTCAGATATTTACAAATATAAGTAAAAGTGCCAAAAAAATGTCACAAAAATGAACGGGCCACATGTTTGCTGGTGATTTAGAAACTGCTCCCCACGGTTCCTGTTCATTGTTCCCTTAGCATCATTTCCTCAGGGAAATCTTCATCCGTGGGATTCGGACCTGGACGAGAATAATTACTGGAAACCCCAACGGGGGCAGTGGGTGTGCTGGACCTAAAGAGCCTTTTACTTTGGGCGTGTTTGGGCTGTTCTGCTCCTCTCGTTGCTCTTTCATTGGTTCAGAACGACATCAAGTTTGAAACTTTTTTTCTGACCAAGTAGGCGGGGGGAGTCTGGTTACGCCAACAGAAAACTTGTAACCGATCTCAGAGTGTCCGCGAGACGAAAACACTCTTAATAATTCACACTTCTGCGCCTGGTTGCAGAACAAAAGAGCAGCGGAGAACTGCTTTTGTATAGTGGATATTCGGCGAACAAAAGTAACGTTAGTGGGGTGAATATGTTGTAAAACCACTTCCTCTGTGGCAAGGATGAAGAAGTCTTGAGTGACTTTGCTCTGATTAATTTGTCAACTTTTGCTGGCGGATCGCTCCCGTGGCTCGGTGAACCGTAGAGAAAGGTGAGTTCATGTTCCCGGTGATATTAGCGGTTCACGGGTTTTTTAAATTAAACTTCTTCTCAAACTTTAACGAACAAAGATTTGTTGTCAAGGAGGGGGGCTGAACTCACGCCTCCTCCGAGTAATTCAGTACGAGGCTGCTGCAGCAACGTTTCCGAGAGGTTAACGGTGGGTGTTAATGAGACTAGCTTAATTTGAGGGACGCCATGTTCACCTAACGGAAATTGGTCAAACACATAAAAACGACCCGCTGCTAAATTTCCCGAGATTAGCATTTAAACGACTGTTCTGATCGATTTAAATTATAATAAAAGAAGATACTGTGGAGTAATTATTTTTAACTATGTGATCTATACTTAAAGCTGGTCCATTCCCCCTGTTTACCACATATTTACTTATTTTCGAACTTATTCAAATGAGACCTGGTGATAAACCTCAGAACAAGATATCCCATCCCTTCAACGTTTGATATCCCAATTGAACTGTTCTGTAATAGTGTGGAACGTAAAGCAATGCACTTAATAAAGTAATGCAACATTTCATTTATTCATTTAAACATTTTTGAGTGATTGTCATGAGAAACTGAGTCAGATTCAATAAAAGCTAAACTATGCAACAAGATTATGTTTATTGTCTAAATTGCCTAAACAGAAAACGTTCCACACCAACTTTATAGGGTAGATGTGCTTTCCTTATGGTGGGTGTTCAGAAAACCCTCCATTAAAAAGAAACTAATTATCATCCCCTTTGCTTTAAACGCCTAATAATCTTCTATGCACTAAGTGGGCAAATCCAAAGTTTATTCAAACCAAGCCTGCAGGGAATGATCGGGTTGTATATGGGTTGTAAACAGTGATATGTTTTTTTTAACACATTGCTGTGTTTACAATGTAGTTTTGCTTCATATAACAAGCCCTTTGTGTGTGTGTGTGTGTGTGTGTGTGTGTGTGTGTGTGTGTGTGTGTGTGAGTGAATGAATGGTCCAACTGTGCAGGGCTCAGGCAGGTAGAGCCATACATTATCATTCACAGCCCAGGCAGACATGTCAAATGAATTATAACCAGGGGTTTTAGATTCGGAGTTGGACCTGCACCTTGCATTAGCCGTGTCAATGGTGAGATGATTTGCCATTTTTCAACCTGCACCCTTTTAGTTACCAGGCTTCTCTTTGTGTCTTTCTGTTGGTTGTAATCCTTGTCAGTCAGGTAGTGATTTTAGGAGAATAAAGATCACAGAATAGAACAGTTGCTGTTCTCTTATTTTAGTTGTTTATAAGGGAGGAATCGGGACACAGTAGATTATTTTTACATACTGTGATCTTGGACGTTTGCTGAGCCTTGGTGTGGTGTTTTGGAAGTATTTTACTGAAAGTCATCATTTCAAGAAGTAAATTTTTAATGTCTTTGTCACAAAACCCAGCGTTGTAAATCAATTTAAAGTAGCTCAGAAGGTAGAGTAAGCTGCCCAGTAATTGGAAGGTTGTAGGTTCCTTCCCGGCTGCCGCCAGAGAATGCTGCTCTCTGTCTTGGGCCTTCAGTGCGCCCCAGGGCAAATTAAGGATGCACAATACATTGCAAATATATCAACATGCACTATACGAATATCGCAAAGAACAGGAAATAAACAGCAATACATGGTCAGCTCAGAATGTTTGCTACACATAATGCATTTTGTCAATCAAACGGGAGCATGAAATTTTTGACAAATCAAGTAGAGCTTTTCATCCATTTGGCCAGTTGGGTGGGTTCTTACAGGTTAGATGCCCGCCCCCTAGGCGGATGACATTCGCTGTGTCTCAATTCAGGGTCTGCATCCTTCGAAGGACCCAGCCTACTCAGCCGACGTGGGCTGGGTCCTCCGTCGGCCGAGTAGACTGGATGTTAACGGCTGTGAATTTGGACAGGCCTAGCCTTCATGAATTCCCGCCACTCCCTCGCAAACGTTCCGTCGTCTAGCAACCGTGGAATCGCTGAGCAGAAGGGAGAAGGAACTAACGATGGAGCTCGAAGTTTTATTTAGATTTTTAATCATTTCCTTGACTGTTGGACAGCTAATTCAGAGAAAAAAACTTTCGACAAGCTGAGCCTGAGCAAAGATGTGATAATAGTTTTTAATACTTTCTAAGGGTCTTAATTTGACCAAAACCGATTTATTACCTTTTAAGACTTTTCAAGACCCAGCGGATACCCTGTAATATCAAACAATTCACATTTGTAAACAAAAATAAAATTCAAGAATTTAATACAGAACTGATTTTATTTAGATATTTCTTTTATATGTACATGTTTAATCTTTCTTAACTATTTTTTCTAGCAAAGTAAAAAGCCTGTCAAAATTCTCCCTTCTCTCCTGTGCCCTCTGCTGCTCTGCCTCCCTCTGCAGCCTCAAGTCCTCCCTGATCAGCTCCAGAAGCTGGTCATCGCTGTCACCTTCCCCTGGATGCCCATTTTCTTCAGAATAGTCCTAACAAACATGTAAGAAAAAAACAGGAAGAGAAGAGACAGAGAAAAGAGGACAACGGGTTATTCCTTTCGTGTTTTCGCAGAAAAAACTAAACTTAAAATATGAGATGTTATAACACCTCCATGCCACAGCCGCCGAACACTTTGCTCCAGTGAACATGTGGTCCATCTCTGCCCTAAGCTTAATAAAGTCCGTGGTTTTCTCTTTTGTCCTTAAAATACAAACTTCTATTAAAATCAGGGGGAAAACGTAGCGGGAGAAGTACGACACCGAGCGGTCGAACATACGAGCCGAGACTAGGGATGCACCGATGGATCGGCATTTGATCGTAATCGACCAATAGCGCCCCTATCGGTTTTGATCGGAATTTTCAAAATAGATCAAAGCAGACCGATCAGGTAGGGTTGTCACGGTAACCAGTGTAGAGGTAAACCCCGGTAAAAAAAAAAAAAAAAGTTGACAATAATAATAACTGTCTTGTTTTTTAAAAAAGCTATATTATCTTGGTGGGTTTACCGTGGCTGCGTTGTAGGCGCGGTGACCCTTACCAGCCACCATATCATCTGCTGAAGTTGCAGGACCGGCGGCACATGCGCGCTTTGCTGTTTACAACCAAAACTTTCTTGAAGCTAAAGCTGAAATAATGGCCAAAGGAGGAGACGGCAGCGCTCAGGAGGACATTTATTATCCCTCAAAGAAGACAAAGTCGGAATTACGAGCATCTTTTGGATATTTGAAGAATGCCAAGGGATAGAAGACGGCTATCCTGTTTGCAGCACGTGCAGAAAAAGTGTCTGTGAAAGGCAGCAACGCTTCAAATCTCATGACACATCTGCGTGACCATCACCCACAACTGTACAGTCAACGCAAGGCAAGTTAACGTTAGCGTTTTAGCTAAAATGCGTGATCCGAGGATTTGGGTTGAGGGAGAATGCAACGAGTCGCTATATAAAGCAGCCGCAGCGCCGCTACCTGCATATAAACCGTGTCGCGGACACCCCCATGTTGAAATGACGCTATGCATTACGGGGCTCCCAGGGGCAGATAAGAGTTGGTCTCTCTCCAAGAATAATTATGAATTTAACAATGATTACTGCCTGATGACATTTTCCCCACATCTGCAAAGCTCACTGGAAGGACACAAACCGAGGACAATATTCTCCTGATATAGGGATTATTACTCAAGTAAGGGTAAAAAAGTATCTGATTAGAAGGCTACTGGAGTACTGAGTATCATCTGATTTAATATTTTTAAACGATGACATCAAACAGACATGAAATAAGAAGTTATGGGCAAATATTGGCATTTTAAAGACTAAAGGGGAAAATTGTAAACAAATAAACAACATAATTACAAAATAACACATTTTAGGCAAAATTTAGACACAAACTGAGGACAATATTTCCTGACATACAGGGTTTATTTAATTGTGTGAAAATGTAGCACGTTTAAAAAAATATACCGCGATAATACCGAAAACCGTGGTAATTTTGGTCACAGTAACCGTGAGGTTAAATTTTCACTCCGTGACAACCTTAATACAGACCATTTTAGATTAGGTTGCATTTCTTTTATTCCCAGATTATGTAGTTTGTAGCACTCATTATAATGTTGTAGAAAATTTCTGGCCAATCCACGTGATCGGTATCGGTGATCAGCATTCTTTGATATCGGTATCGGTGATCGGCAACAAAAAACCTGATCGGTGCATCCCTAGCCGAGACCGCACTACAAGCACTTTTACTGTAACATTTCAAACTAAAATAACGTTCATGTATCACAAAAAGCCCTTAACCTAACAGTTTTCAAGTTTATACTGACATTTATGTGCGCAATCCTCTCCAACAGCTCCCGCTTCACTGTCCGCCATTGTTTTTAAAAGTTCTGCCATCCGGCCCGCAAGGCATCTTGGGAAATGTGAACCATTGAAGGATACACCGGACCCATCCTTCATACAGGCGAAAAGAAGGCCGGATTCGTCGACCGCATTTGAAGGGGTCTTCGAATTGGGACAAGCCTAGTCGCGGCGCTGTGACTAACCGGCCGACGAAGGATGCAGACCCTGAATTGAGACACAGCCATTTAATTTGGATGGCTAGCAAACACCTGAGTTAGCTTCGTTCTGCTCTTTCTGCTGATTCAGCTTTGCCCGTGATCCACTGATTGCCTTTTCCTGTTCATTTTCCCTTTCCTTTTATCTTTTTATCCCAATTTTTGCTTTTCACGTGTAATTTTTTTGTCATTTAAAATGTTTTAAATTTCCTTTATTCTTGAGTTATGCATTTGTCAATTTATTTGAAGTCATATCGTCATCGCATTATTAATCACTGTTGTCACGCATCGCAGGTTTTCCTAATATCGTGCCACTCTAATACAAACACAAGCCATTTACTAAATCTCTTCATTTACTGAACAAAGTGTAAGAAATCACCACCCCCGAGGGACTGGGAGCCGTTTAAACTGTTCTCTAGATAATACATTTGCTATTTTTTTGATTTAACAACCGTTAAGTTCTTTCCAAACATATTGAGACACA